TCTGATTTGTAGTGACCTGTAGAACAGCATAGACCTTATTGACGGGGTTTCTAAGACAAGGATAAAAACGAGGAAGGATCTTTTTCCCATGAAGTGACTGGTGGATTGTGACTGCTGACCTTTTGCTTAGCAACTGAGTGTGCAACCACTGTGCCGAGAGGGAACTCAACTGTCTTGGTGCATATAACTACAATTCATTCCTTTTTACTATAAGGATGTCCTATGGATACACATCCATTGGCTGTATTTCGTTTGAGGCATGTGATTACATCCACTGTAAACATTCATGTTCAGTTTTGTGTTCTGGGGTCGTATGATAAACGCAAGTTCAACTTTGTAAGAAACTATCAGGCTGTTTTCCAAAGTAGCAGATGGATTTTGCAATCTCTCTAGTCATGTTCTCCATTCATGATACTCAAGATGCTCTTCATTCTTGCTGGGACTTGGGATTGTCAGGGGTTTGGTTTGTTTGTTGTAATCATTTCAATTTGTGCATAATATCCCACTGGGGGATTAACTTGCATTTGGTTAAAGATTGAAAGATCATTTGCTATCCATACATTTTCTTTGGTGAGCTGTCTGGCCACATCTTGGATCCTATTATGAATTGTGCCCCACCTGTGGCTATAATTCCAGCTGAGCATTTTCTTTGTTAATGAGGCTGTGTTAATGTAGGGTGTGTCATTTAGTAATCTTTTCTGAGATTAATAAAAGAACAGATTAATTAAGCAGTGACTGGAAAGTCCAAATTTAGAGTGTCAGCCCAAGGAGATTTCTTCTCTCTTTGATTCTGGAGCAAGGTCTTTTTCAGGCTCTTTTCCTTGTCTCCTTGGTCATTTCCATGTGGCATCACTTCAACCTTTCTAAATTTTGCTTGCTTGATTAATCTGTCCTTTTCATGGTGGAGGGAGCTCTGATGGCATACTGGGTAGGGTGGGATGCTGCTAACCCTAAGGCACCACATGTTTGGCAGTCCAGATCTACCAGCAGCTCTTAGGGAGAAACATTGGCAATATTCTCCCATGTGATTTTTACAGCCTCTGAAAACCCTTTGGAGGGCCAGCTACGAGTCAGTTCTGACCCATTGGCAATCAATTGCATTTATTTTTGAGGTAATTTTAGATTTAAAAGTGGCTGTAAGAAGTCATACAAGGAGAATTTTTATGCTCCAGCTTCCCTTAATCTTGCATAATTATGTTGTTCTTGTTAGATGTCTTGTGTTGACTCCGAGTCATAGTCATCCTATGTACAACAGATGCACATTCTGCCCCTATTCTGCACCATGACCACAATCTCTACTGTGCTCCAATCCATGGATGCAGACACTTTGTCAATTATTCTCATTGGGAGTATTCTTTTCCTTCATGGATCCTGTTTTTTCCCCCAGAATGATGTCTGTTTCTAAGGCCTGAGCCCTCTTGACAACATGCCCAAAGTATGTAAGACAAAGTCTCACCAGAAGTACATCATTGCAGTGAAAAACAGGGAACTGGTGTTCATACAATCCATCTATTTTGTTTGGGCTTCATTAGCTTTGCCTACACTCTTTTGTGGGGGTGTATTTTGCTCTGTGTAGTTCTATCGCACATGTGAATACCTGAGATCACCATTACCACAGTCCAAACACAGAGCAGGCCCTCACCAGGATCCCTTTTATAGCCATAGGCACCTCCGCCTCCTCCTTGCCTAACTCCTGTCAACCACTAATCTGCTCTCCATCTCTATAATTTTGTCATTTCAAGAATGTTACATAAATGGAATCATACAGTCTGCAACTCTTGAATCTGGCTTTTTTCACTCACCCTGGGAATTCATCCAAGTTGTTGCAAGAATCCAGTAGTCCTTCATTTTTATTATCCAGTAGTATTCCACAATTTATTTAACCCTCCATTGACGAATATCTGGGCTGTGGTTTTTTTTAGTTTGCAGCCATTATGAATAAAACTGCTATGAAAATTTATATACAGGTGTTTGGTGTAAACACAAAGTTTTTATTTCTCTGGAAGGACTTAGGGTTTCCAAGGCTAGTGAACTCAGAGGGAAAAGGATGAGGCCATCTCCTCCTGCAAAGATTTGAGACCTTGGAAATCCCATGGAAGGTTCCAAAACCTGGAAACCACTCCAGCAGAACAGAATGAGTTTTATAATATTTGCATGCCAAATTATTTCCATACTGATTATAGCATCTTATATGGAGACTTGGTAGCCTAGTGGGTAAAGGAATTATGTTGCCAACTCGAGCCAGGAGGTTCAAATCCACCAGATGGTTTTGCAAGGGGAAAAAAGAGTAACCTTCTTTTGTATGATTTACAGCCTCTGCAAATTGGTTGGAGGTTCAACAATGAGTAGGTTCCAACTCAATGGCAATGGGTTACTGTTTACTGAGTTTATGCCATTTTATATTAGAAATTACAATCCCACTAGGAATGGATGAGGGATATGGTTTCTCAAATCCTTGCTAGATTTCATATTATCATTATTTCTTACTTTGGCTATTCTAATAGGTAAAAGGAACTCTGGTTGAGAAAGTGCATAGATATCGCTCTATTAACCAAAAAATCCACTAGCTGCTCTGCATAGGAAGGTGGGAAGTATGAAATGTCATTTAATTTTAAGGATGAATATCTTATTAACTGCTAAGTGTAAGACAATTATTGAATAATATCATTAAATTTGCATGAAGGCAAAATATTGTGGAAGACCATTAAAAATGATTGGGTATTATTGTTATGACAAGAGCCCAGAATGAAGGTTGCATAGTGGAGCATACTCGGGGATGGTGGGGGGATTACATATCAATGAAGAAATTTTTCTTTTACTTTTCAAAGAGAAGAGCGAACTGGGGGAGGGGAGGGGAAGGGCAGGGAGAAAGTTGCAACAATGAATGAGTGGAAATACAAAATCTCTGTAAATGTTCATTAAAATTAATAAAAAAATTATTTAAAAAACCCCTCCAAAAACCAACAACAAAACAAAAACCAACAAAAAACTACTAGAATAGTGTATTAATAGAGAACTATGCCTCTGGAAACTCTATGAACTTTGAACTTTGATAACTGGCTTCAGGCCTTTTGTTCATAGGTTGCTATGGTCATGCTCGACTCTAAGGCAATCAACAACAATAACAACAACATTAGAATTCAAGTAGTATTTACAAGAGGCTACATCAACAGAGATATCATTACTGATGTCAGATGGATCCTGGCTGAAAGAAGAAAATTCCAGAAGATTCTCTGTGTTTTATTGACATTTGAGTGTAGATCATAACAAAGCATGGCAAACATTCAGGCAAGTAGGAATTCCAGAGCAATTTTTTTGTGCTTATACAAAATCTATACCTAGACCAAGAAACTGTTATCTAAAAAGAATAAGGAACACTGTATGGTTTAAAATCAGAAAGAGTGTGTACCAGGGATGTATCCTTTCTCCATACATATTCAATCTGTATGCTGAGCAAATAATTTGTGAAACTAAACTCTATGGAGAAGAATATGGCATTAGAATTGGAGAAAGACTTATCAACAACTTGCATTATGCAGATGATATAATTTTGTTTGCTGAAATCGAAGAGGATTTGAAATGCTTGCTGCAGATCAAGGACTACAGCCTTCAATATATATTACGTATCAACATCAAGAGGACAAAAGTCCTCACCACTGTGCCAATAGGCAACATCATGACTGACAGAGAAAGGGTTGAAGTTGTCAATTATTTCATCTTGCTTGGATTAACAATCAACATCTTTGATACTAGCAGTTAGGCGATAAGGAGACATATTGCGTTGGACAAATCTGCTGCCAGGAATCTCTTCAAAATACTGAAAAACAATTGTGTCAGTGTGAAGAATAAGGAGCACCTGATTCGGACCAGGATCTTTCAACTACTTGCTTTGCATCTGACAGCTGGGCAATGAATAAGGCTGATAGAATTTATGCCTTTGAGTGTGGTGTTGGAGATGAGTACTGATCATCTCGGAGACTGCCAAAAGAACAAATGGATATGATTTGGAAAAAAGGCAGCTGGAGTGCTCCTTGGAGGCAAAGATAGCAAAGCTCTGTTTCTAGAAAAAGTTTTTCTTTGGAAGGGGGCAGGATGCTTGGAAAAGTGGAGAGTAGGGTAATCGAGTAAGAACCTCAACTAGGTGGAATGACATAGTGACAGACTCAAGTGTGTCAGAGATGAGTTTGAGGCAGATGCAGAGGATGGAACAGGCTCCGTTTTATTCTTCATAGAGTCGCTCTAAGTCTTACTTAACTGGAGGGAACCTAAAATAAAAAAACACCACCACCTTAGGAGGGCCACCTGCCATAGTCATTGTAGGGCAAACGGTTTCTTTTGCTCCAGTCTCGTTATTTTCTTTTCTTTTTTAAAACTTCCTCATCCCGCCCGAACAGGGATTTGAACCCTGGACCCTCAGATTAAAAGTCTGATGCTCTACCGACTGAGCTATCCGGGCTCACTATTGTTTTCTGATGTGTTCTCTTGAGCTAGACCAGGTTTTCCGCGTAACGTTTGTTTACCTGGAGCACAGAACAGCCTGAGTCTGTCAACTGAAACTTCCTGTTAGAAATTTATCTTTTCCATTAGACTGAGATCTTCAAGCCAGTAGAGACAGCCTTGCCCACCTTGAAATGCTTAGCTAGCATGTTGCATATCAAAGACAGAATGAAAGCAAGAAAAAGGATTGACTAAGGAATCGGAGAACGCTTGTATGCGACCCCAGTTAATTACAGCTGAAGCCCGTTAAGACCTTAACCCGGACGACAGCGGCTTGGTGAGACGCATGCGCACCTCTGTCCCGCCCCCATCTCTGGGTTGCCTCCCCACCCGCGCCCGCCCAGCTGCCAATTAGAGAGAGGAGGCGGGGTCCTAGTTGTCGCGGTGCTACCTGGGTAGTGTCCCTAGTTACTGTTGCTAAGGGCAAAGGCGTCTCCGGGATCTGAAGTTTTGGCATCAGGGGTAGAGAAAGGTCAAGGGTCAGTGCAGAGGCTGACAGGAAGATGGTAAAGCAGACGATCCAGATTTTCGCGAGGGTGAAGCCCACTGTCCGGAAATACCAACAAGGGGTACGGTCCGAAGCAGCGAGGGTCGGGCAAGGGTGGAGCGAGGGGGGCAGGGGAGGAGCCGCGCGTGAGTGGCCTGGTCAGTGGTGAGGTGCCCTTTGACAGCTCATGCTCCAAACCCTATGGTCACATTTAGGTTTTTTTTTAATTGGGTCAAACAATATTAAGTTACAGATTTAAGTACATACATGTCTGAAATGATGCAACTGTAGAAAGAGAGAAAGCAAGTGCAAACAGGACTCTGCACACAGTGTGTCCTCAGCAATTTGTTCTGTAACAACTTTGTCCATTCTGCACTGTAAACGTGGGCCTGTAACTTTAACTGAGCATTTAACTTGGCACTTCTACTGTGCTGAGGTCAAAGGATGCAAAGGATGACCTCAACTTTCAGGAAAAACCCTTGTTTTACTTTATGTGTTTTTTTTGGGGGGGGTTTATAGGTATTTTTTTTTAAAGTTTATTTTTTTTATTGATATTTTAGCCAAAGTTTGACAGAAAACTTGGATTTTCATTCATTGTTGCACAATTTCCTCCTTCCCCCGTCCCCCAGTCTACTTTATTATACACCTCTTATTCTGGTATGTTGTCATGCAAATAACACCTAATCATATATTCCTTTTAAAAACAGTTCTTTCCTTCATCTATTTCAATTCAATGTTCATTATTTATCCCCTCTTTTTTTTTTTTTAGTTTCCCCCCAACTCCCATGTCAGTCCTGTTTTATAACAGTGGCATTATGCAGTATTTGTCCTTTTGTGACTGAGATATTTCACTCAGCATAGTGTCCTCAAGAGTCATCCATTTTCTGTAATTTTTTATGAGTTCCTTGTTTCTTCTTGGTCAAAACATTATTTTCTCTTCCTGCAAGAGAACATAGTCATAGTCAGTCTTAACACTTCTTGAGAAATTGCCAGGTTTTGACAGGTTCTTAATCTGCATAATCTTCAATTGCTACAACAACCCTGCAAGCTTGGTGTCCTCTTATTTTATAGATAAGGAAATAGAGTCTTACTTGGGCAAAACAGTAAGCTTAAATGATGTGGGCAAGCCAGCGATCTGGTGGATGACAGTGCTGTCATTTCAATGAAAGCCTTTTGATTTCAAAGCTATTCACTTTTCTGACAAAACCTTTTGCCTTCTTCTACAATGAGGAATTAGGCTTAATGGAAATGTAAAGTTAATGAGAATGCTTAAATACTGGCTTAAAGTGCTGCTAATAAGAGAAGCAAATAGCTCAAATCCATCATCTGCTTCATAGGAGAAAGTCTTCTGTGAAATTTGTAGCCTCTGAAAATTCCTTGCTATGAATTGGATCCCACTCTACCGTGCATAACACCACCACCACCAATAACAATAGTTTGATAATATTGATAAGTGCCTGGAATGGATTAATGAGTAACCGTATTTTACTTTTGGTGAAATGTTTCTGTACGTGCATAATATAATATCTCAGAATTTAGTATTTGCTTCATGTCATTTATGTATTTAAAAGAAGAATAGTGTCTCCTTCATCACTGTCAACAGTCTTTTTACACAAAAGATACAGTTAGATTAGAAGAGAATATTTTTTTAATAAAAAACAACGCTATTGGCTTTGTCTTTTTTTAAAAAGGAATAACTGCTTGCCATTCTGTTGAGTGACACCCATTCATAGCTAACCCTCCTGTGGGTTTTCAGGGGCTATACATTTCAAGGGAGGAGATTGTGGGTCTTCCTCCTGCTGATATGCTAATGGATCTGATTAGACAGAGAGGTGCAACTTTTGGTTTAGCAACACTCATTAGGCACCAGAACTTCCTTTAAGAAGTATTTGGCAAGGAATCATGGGAAAGTTTTGCTTCTATTCTATGCACTTAGAAGAAGAATGTTTTTATATGTAACTTCTTCATGTAACTTCATATGTAACTTCTTATTCTTAGCTAAACATGTACTGAAACTACACATACTCAGTAATCAGAAGCAAGTGCTTTGAATATTAAGAGGATTAATTCGTGTGTGTGTGTGTGTGTGTGTGTGTGTGTGTGTGTGTGTGTGTGACAGGAATCAGATTGATTACATCAACAGAAAAGAATCATTGGAGAATCTCATTATCAGCTGTGAAAATGAGGCCACATGCTGACTGTGGAACAGACTATCAACTACTCATATATGCAAGTTCAAGCTGAAGATAAAGAAAATCAGATCCAATCCACAAGAACCAAGATTTGACATCGAGTCTATCCCACTTAAATTTAAGGACCATTTCAGGAACAGGTTTGAGGCCTTAAACACTAATGAGCAGAGACCAGATGAGCTATGAGAGAATATCAAGAATATCATCCATGAAGAATATAAAAAGTCATTTCAAAGATGGAGGAGGAGGAAAAGACCAAGGTGTGTATCAGAAGAGACTGAATATTCACTAAGAGCTCAGAGAAGCCAAAGCAAAGGGAAGACATCAAGAAGGAGCTGAATGGGAGATTTCAAAGGGCAGCTTGGGAAGGCAATGCAAACTATTATCATGAAATGTGCAAAGTCCTGGGTTTTGAAAATCAAAAGAAACAAACTTGCTTGGCATTTTTAAGCATAAGGAACTGAAGAACAAGTTTAAATCTCGAATTGCAGAATTTTTAATGACATAGGAAGGAAGATGAAAGGAGTACACAGAGTCACTAGAGAGAATTGGCTGACACAGAAAAATTTCATGAAACAACAAATGATCAAGAGGCAAATGGTGATAAAGGAAGAAGTTCAAGCTGCTCTCAAGGAATTGGCAAAAAACAAGGCCCCAGTAATTGACCACATACCAATTGGCATATGTCAACAAATAGATGTTGCCCTGCACACAATGACCACATTGTGCCAAGAAATCTGGAGGACAACTCTTGGCCTGGAAGAGATCTATACTTATTCCCATTTAAAAAAAAGAAAGTGATCCAAAAGTGATGCAAATTATCAAGTAACATCATTAATATCACAAACAAGATTTTCCTGAAGATTATCCAAAACCAACTAGAACATACACCAATAGAGAACTACCAGATGTGTGAGCTAGCTTTAGAAGAGATCGTGGCACTAGGGGTATTACAGCCAATGTTAAATAGATCTTAGCTGAAAGCAGAGAATACTAGAGGAATGTTTGTCTGTGTTTCAGTGACTATGCAAAGACATTTTACTGTGTGGATCACAACAAATTGTAACTAATCTTGAGAAGAATAGGAATCCCAGAACAATTACTTGTACTCATGTGAAACCTATACTTGGACCAGGAAGCAGTTCTCAGAACAGAGCAAGGAAACACTGCATAGTTCAAAATCAGAAAAGGTGTACACCAGGGATGTGACCTATCTCCAAACTTTTAAAATCTTGTTGTGGAACAGATAATTTGGTCATTTGGGAGGTGGGTATCTATAAGGAGGAATATGGCTTCAGGATTGGACAAAGAACCCTCAACAACCTTCATTATGCAAATGACACAACTTTGGTCACCAAAACTGAGGAGGATCTGAGGCATTTGCTGCAAAAGGTAAAAAAACTATAGTTTAAACATCAAGAAACTCAACATCAGGAAAACAGAGGTTCTCTCTACTGTGCCATGATACACGGAGAAGAGATTGAGATTGTTAACAATTTCAGCTTACTTAGTTACACAGTCAACACTTCTGGCACCAACAGTCAGGAAATCAAAAGATGAATTGCATTGGATGACTCGATGGTACCTAACAACAACAACAACATCATATTACACTAAAGTTTTCTGATGATAGATTTTCTTCATGCTCCAAAGCAAGACTTAGTGATGGAGGGTCACTGTATCAACTTACATCAATTCTTCTTTGTGTCCTCTTCCAGTGTGTTTAACTGCCTCTTTCTTCTGAGCTTTAAACAATACAAATTTTTAATTTTCCCCCTCCTGACAACCATCCCTCACTCCTGTGTGATTCATGTCTTATATACCCCTTTCCCATCTGTTGAGTCTTGAAAATTAAAAAAAAGTATTATTGCCCTACAAAATATAGTTTTTAAAGATCTTTTGAGAAAACCTAGCCAGAAAGCCTTGAACCTGATACCATTGCTATCTATAAACAATTTCATTTTATAGAATGGCTTTTCTACATAGTATCTTCACATTTTAAATGAGAGGTTTCAATAAAAATCTGTTTGGGAAAATTATTCAAACTTTCTAACGATTTAGGTAGGCTTTTACTTGCTTAAGAATATGACTCTGCCCCCATAATAAAGCATCCAAATAGGTCTTAAACAGGAAGTATTGCCTGTTAGAAAGAATTTTATTTCATGGTGAAAAGACAAGAAGCCTTTTTTTAAAACCTCTAAATCTAATGACTAACATTTTTATGGTACATTACAAAATGCTTCCATTTCCATTACATCATTTGATCCCTATAGCAATCTTGTGAGGGAGGCAATTCTGCTTTCCTCATTTTATGTATAAGGGGCTGAGATTCTGAACACAGTGTCGGGTGACACAGCTGGTGAATTGAGTTCAGTGCTGGACTTAGGTCTTATGACATTAAGCCTTGTACTTGTACTTTTCTTTCACGACCTTGCTAGATATTTGACTCTTGATTTTCCTGACCAATAACTAGAGGAATTAGCAACTAAGAAGTGACTATTACAGTTGTAAGGATATTGGTTAATTTGTTCTTTCCACATAAGCTCAGAGAGGTTAAATGGTTTACCCAGGTCACTTGCCAATTAGTGGCTGAGCTGGGATGGGAACTGTGAAAAAAGCATCAAAGACATGCATTATATGTGTCTTTGATGCCACATGGCTTTTATCAAATTCCTGACTATGCTGTATGGAGGCTTGGGATTCTTTGAACATAACTTGAATTAGAGCATTCTTGTGAGCTCTGTGAGAAGACTCAGACCTAGTCCTTTTATCTCTGTGTCTAACGTTTGATAAATGCTCAGAAATATTTGTTAGATGGAGTAGAATGTTAATTTCTGGTTCATAATCCCAAAGTAATACTTAGAAACTGTATTATTACCGGAGCTATTGGTTTCTTAACAATAACAGGGACACGTTTAAATGCTCAACTTTGAATGTAACCTCAGTTAAAGGTGAGCTGAGATTTGATAGAGCATTGTTTCAGCTCTACTTCTTGATCAGTTAATTCCATATATTTGTTTTGAGTCCACACATAGTTCAAAGAGGAAGATTATCCAAGTTATACTATGTCATGACATAAAAATGCAATTTGTATGCAATTATAATTTATGCCATAATACCATGGGTTAGGTCAAGCTGCAAGTTTACTATTTGGTTTTCATTTTTGTATGTTCATATTTGCAGATTTATTCCATAGATGAAGATGAAAAATTAACACCCAGCTTGGAAATTATTGTACCACGTGATTTGGCAGATGGATTTGTTAATAATAAGCGAGAAAGCTACCGATTTAAGTAAGTTTATCTTTCTGCTTTGTTCCTGTTTTATTTTTTAAATAATCTGGCACTAGTTTTAATGTCCACAGTGAAGTAATTAGTACCATTTCTTGTGGCAAACATATACAATGTGATTATCTTTTTTATTTAGTAGATAGAAATAAAACTGTCTTTTCACAATTGGGTATAAGATTTAAAAGAGGTTTTGGGGTTGTTTTCTTTTTTCTGTGTTCAAAATCATATTCCAAGACTTTTCTCCTCACCTCTATTTACTTAGTATTATCATTTTTCTTAGTTACCTCACTGTGGTGTCTCAATTATAAGAAGTTCAGTGACTAAATTTTACATAGGTAAGAACTTAAGGTCTAATATAGGTGCTGTACAGGGGAGTTTTCTCTTTCGTGTCAATGACCCATGAGCCCCATGTGCATAAATGTACAGTCTATATCTGTGCAGTGCAACCCAGAGGTCAAAATCTAATCTACATGTGGATCTTGAGCACTGGAACGATGTCTCACCTGAGTAGAGATATGCTGCAAGTACAAAATACATTAAGAATTTTGAAGACTTAATTTTAAAAAAACCATCAGTAAAACACCTCAAGATTTTTACATACTGGATACATATTGGAATGAGAACATTTTCTGTACATATGTATATATAAGGGAGCTCTTGTGGCCTAGTGGCAGTGTGGGGTTCAAAACCACCTGAACCTTATCGTTTTTCATCTTGTCACCTCTGACACTTTTGAGCCTATTGCTACATTTAACTGTGTCAACCCATCTCATTGGAGTTCTTCCTCTCTTTAGCTGACCTTCTGTCTTCCCAAGCATGATGCCTTTTTCCAAGAATAGTCTCTCCTAGCAACAAGTCCAAAGTATGAGAAAGCTTTATTGTCTTTGCCTCCAATGAGCACTATCAATGCACTTTTTCCAAGACTTTATTTGCACTTTTGACAGTCCATGGGATACTCAGCACTCTTTTCCACCACCACAACTCAAGGGCATCAGTTCTTTTTACTTTTATAATTTTTATTGATTGTACAGCTCTCAGATGCATCGTAGATGACTGAAAAGACCATAGCCTGAATCAGATGCACTTTAGTCTTCAAGTTTACATCATTGCTCATAACTATTTTGGAGAGGTTATAGACAGCAGACTTACCCAATGCAATAAATACACTTCTTAATTTCCTGACTGCTGGTCCCAAGGATGTTGACTATTAATCCAAGCAAGAATATTGTTGTTGTTATGTGCCGTCAAGTTGCCTGCAACTCATAGCGACCCCATTTATAACAGCTGTGAACCCTGCTCTATCCTGAGCCAACCTTATTGTCTCTGACACACCTACCCCCATTACCCCAGTCACTGAGACAATCCATCTCATTGAGGGTCTTCTCTTCCTGCGCTCCCCCTCCACCCTCCCAAGCATGACATACCTCTCTAAGGACTGGTCCCTTTTTGCAACATGTCCAGAGTATGTCAGATGAAGCTTCAGAATCCTCGGCTCCAAGGATAGGTTTCACCCTATCCAGGACAAAATTGTTTGTTCTTTTGGCAGTCCATGATATATTAAATACACTTTCCTAGCACGACATCTCAAAGGTATCAATTCTCCTTCTATCATCCCTAGTCATTGTCCAGCTGTCAGACACATAAAAAGTAATTGCGAAGACCATGGCCTGAATTGAGTCTTTGCTTTTCAGTACTCTGGAGATGTTCCTGAGAGCAGACATTCCCAATGCAATTTGTCTTTTGATTTCCTGGCTCCTGATAGCAAGAATGTTGATTGTGGAGCTAAGCAAACTAAAGCTGTTAGCAATCTCAATCTCTTCACCATCTATCATGATGCGGCAAATTGGCCCAGTGGTGAGAATCTTTGTTTTCTTGATGTTGAGCTTCAATCCATATTGAAGTCTGCAGTCCTTGACCTTCTGGAGTAAGTGCTTCAGGCCCTCCTTAGTTTCAGCAAGCAAGGTTGTGTCATTTTCACAGTGCAGGTTGTTGATGAGTATTCCTCTAATTCTGGTGCCACATTCTTTCACATAGAGCCCAGCCTCCTGGATGTTCTGTTCCACATATAGATTGAAAAGGTATGGAGATAAAATACATACGTGGTGTACACCCTTCCTGATTTTAAACCGTGCAGTATTTCCTTGCTCTGTTCTGATGACTGCCTCTTGGTCCAAGTATAAGTTTTGCGTAGTCACAGTCTAATGTTCTGGGATTCCCATTCTTCTCAGAGTCAGCCACAATTTGTTGTGATCCACATAATCAGGTAAGAATAGCCTACAATTAATACATAGTGTACATTTTGTGGAAGGAACATTCCCCATTGATACAGTCATATGACATTCTATAGTTGCTATGATTTCCTGGTAGCTACATTAGGCAAGCTTTTATAGAACAACAAAATACCGAAACACATTATTCAACTTGAGTTTATTTGGCAATTAAGAAACAATTGATGATAGCTGTATCTCCTGCTTTTTCCATAGTAGTCTTTGAATTATTTTGATGCAAATAGAGTGCTTCTGAAGAGATATATATTGAAAAATAAAAAGCGTTTGCATATATGTCTTTCAAATCTTTGAATGAAAAATGAGGACTTCAACATGTAAAATAAAGAATATATATTTTAAATACCTATCTATTGAGAGAGATTCATGCATCTTTCAAGAAAATTCATTTAATCAATAAATATTTATTGATAATTTTACTGCAAGCTATATTAGGAGCTAGAAACATATCAGGAAATACAATTAATCTCCTATCTTATGGGGTCACACTTCAAGTGGGAGGTGAAAGACAAACAGATAAATCAGTAAAATATTTTGTTTGTAAGAAATGATAAATGTCATAGAGAAAAATAAGGCAGGAGAGCAAGCAATAAGGAATGCTGAGATGAAGGTAGCAGAGAGGAGGGATGGTTGTATTTTATAGAGTGCTTAGGGAGGGTGCTTCCGCAAAGATCATATTTGAGAAAAGATCTGAAAGAGGTAAGTAAACCAGCCACTCATATAGGTGAAGGATGAGAATTCCAGGTCAAATGCAGACTCCCTGAGATGGGGAAATTTCTGACATGATTGAGGAATAGTACCGGCATCTGTATGGCTAGAGTGGAGTAACCAAGGGGCAGAGGGACTCTAGATACGTCAAAGAGGTATCCAGGTCTCTTCTAGCTCTCGGAATCATTTCAAGATCACAGGCTCTTTCCCAAAGAATGTCAGGAAGGCAGTTGGAGTGGTTTGAATGGAGAAGTGAAATAATTTCACTTACGTATTACCAACCTTACTCTTGGTGAATGTGGAAAGCAGTCTGGGTGTGAGGAACAAAGAAAATCAACTAGGTAATTTTAGTAATGCAGGCAAGAAATGATGAAAGCTTGAAGGAGAGTGGAGTTAGGGAAAATACTGAGAAAGAGGTGGATTTGAATGTAATGTAAAGATCATCTAACAGGATTTGTTGATGAATTGGATATAGAGTGTAATAGAAAGGAATCAAGATGGCCATTGGAGTCTATCCAGAGCCAGTCCATGGCACATTTGACTTACTCAAGTAGGAGGAACTTGCAAGATTGGGAGAGCAGTGCTTCATTCACTAGTGGCAGGCTAGGTAAGAAAATTGTACCACTTTGTCTTGCTTGGATCAACAATCAACATCCTTTCTAATAGCAGTCCTTAGAGCAGGAGATGTATTACATTGGGCAAGGCCACTGCCAGGGATCTCTCCAAAATACTGAAGAGCAATAATGTCAGTTTGAAGGCTAATATGTGCCTGACTCAAGTCATGGTCTTTTCAGTAACCTGCTATGTATCTGAGAGGGGGACAATGAATAAGGATGGCAGATGAAGAAGAATTAATGACTTTGAGCTGTGATATTAGGGAAGAGTACTAAATATCCCATAGACTACAAAAAAAACCAATCAGGTATGCCATAGTGCTCCTTGGAGACAAAGATGGCCAAGCTATGTCTCTCATACTTTGGGAATGTTGTTAGAAGAAGCTGTTTCTTGGAAAGGGACATCATACTTGAAAGGCAGAGGGTTAGCAAAAGAGAGGAAGACCCCATTGAGATGGATTGACACAGTAACTGCAGCAGTGGGCTTAAGTGTGTTAGAAATGATGAGGATGGCACAGGATAAAACAGAGTTCTTATCTGCTGTTCATGGGGTCATTATGAGTTGTATTTGACTCAATGGCACCTAACAACAACAACAACAGCAAAAGAGGCCGGGATGCCTTTATATAGAGTGATAAACAATCTGCCCCCAATCAGTGATATGAGTCCCTAAAGTCTGTACTCAGCCCTGTGGTGGGACAGCTTGTGTCCAGGGCTATATGAGCATTTGGAGAACCTAGGAGAGATAGAAGAACTCAGGAGGCATTATGCCAGGGCTACTGAGACAAAAGGGGAGTCAGAGAATCCAGGAAAGCCCAAGACCAGGAAGGAAGGTTGATCCAGGAAACTAGAAAACTGCTATGGCTAGATGTTCTAGAACCCCTCATGCAAAGGTAAACACGCAGCCAAATCATATAAGACTGTAGCAGAAGCTCTCTATAGAACAAGATTCTCTCGAGTTCACCATCCCTCCTCCAAGCTCACAGCCAACACATGAAATGCCAGCCATTCTAAACTAAGGATGGGGCCAACGCTCCCTAGCCTTTGCGTAAGGAACTACTGGGGAATCACAGTCCTCACCTAGAGATAACTATCCACTGGTCTCAAAAGAATAAACAAGCTGTTGTGTGCATTAGTGGCTACTGAGGCCAGGTGCACTTTGGTCCATGGAAATGTTAAAAAATTTCAGGGGCCCTTTACTGCTATTGATGAGTACAGGGAAGTGCAGTGAGAGTGCACTGGTGGCCAGGGCCACCAGTATATGGGTCATCTGCCCCTGCAAAGAATATCAAGTGTATTTCTCCCCCCCACCCCTTGAATAGAGCCTAGTGACAGAAGTACTTGAGGGCCTGATCCACATGACTGATGGTAGAGACTACCATCCGGGGGTGAGCCA